ACGGTTTAAGTATATCAAGTAAAATGAAATATAATATATTGTATATAAGAACTTGTGTAAAAAGTAAGTAAGAGAATAAAGAAGGAAATTGGATTGGTGAAATTTTATTCAATGCATAATCATATAAGTGATATCAATCTATTCAACTCAAACCACATGCTTTCCTCATACACAGTAGGTGGTTCCAAAAAGACAACCAATAAAAAAATAAAATAGAAGAAATGGTAGATGTAAAACAGAGAGTTCATTCTGAACACTTGATAAAGGAATAAAGCTTATGAAATACTTTGAAAATGAGAGTTTGCGCTTTGCTGGTATTTTTTTATGGAAATATGCATCATTCAATTTTATAATCAAGTAATACTCTTTCAAATTGCATGAAATACAAGATTTAATCACTTTATATTCAAAAGTTTTCCAGGGAAGTACGCCAGTCTCCCCTTAAATGGGACTACTGTCAGTAGATTACATGACCAAATATGTTATAAATTAAAAAAAACTAAAATAAAACTAGAAGATTACATAGCAAATTATGTCAAAAGAAAATCTCACCTTTTGTGTGTTATTCCTTCATAATGATAAAATGTCGACGATCTAGTCTGTGAATACTGCTATCGACTGTTATAATGTCATTACAGCACCATTTCTATAACATCATACTATAATAACTATCAGGAATCTTTCCTCTTTCAACACACTACCCAATCGATTGGAGTGGATGAACTTGATTGTTATACTGTTTATAAGTCAGTATCACTCTTCATAACCTTCACATTCCCCAAATCTTACAGAACATTCTTACTTTTTGTATTGTTTAAAAAATATTATACTGTAAAGCATTTCATTTCAATTCCACAACACTGAGAGAAGCACTATAGAATCGATATTCAACAACAATAGACGACTCCACGATTTCTTCCAGTGTGAAAATATTTCTAACCATTTGTCCTTTCTGAATGTCACGACTAGTCATTTAGTAGCAATAAACCACCAAAGTACCTTTCAGTTTATTAAATTAAGTGTTTCGGTGAGGCGATTTAATTGATTTACCCATTTAGTCATCCATAAGACATTGAAATCTATAGTTCAAGTCCTATTAATTTATATTTAGTCTCAAGGGAATTGGAACTCGCATATCGTTGAATTTTCTGAAACATGTAAGTCAGTATGTTAAAGTCAGTCATGTATATGTTGCATTTTTATGCCTGTTTCAACTGACTTTTATCATCAGAATTTGAAATACCACGTCATGCCTACCAAACCAGATAAACAATAAACTTTAGGGTCAGAAGTTATCAGATCGATTACAGTTATATCAGGAAGATGTCGTAGCGATCAATACTGGCAATATGGAAATTATTGAATGTTTGTCGTGCAGTTCTTCAGTCTTCACAGTTCCTATACTGAGTGAATGTTATTCCAGGTTAAACATTTTAACCATTTTAGTATCGCCCTTCTCGGTTTAGATAACACAAAAATGTTGTAAATATCTTTTGAAAGTATAAAGGGGCAACAGCTTATTTCTGAAATTCGGGGACACGAGAGACAAATTCTTAAAAATACCATGATTGACAAATTTCAGCTTGAACCTTGAATTTAATGCCGAAATACCTATAATTTGTAGTATATAGAAAGCATTCCTACTGTTGCATGACAATGGGGCTTTCTGTCAGACATTTTCAGTCCATTTATCCTTTTGGGAGCCTATATATTGAAGCCGGTGAAGTTGTTTTGTCCAAAATATGTCTTCAACTTTTTAGAAGAAGATACGATCGACAGATACAGAAAAGAAAAACCCCACCCATCGCTTTTTAAATGTTTATAAAACTGACAAGAGTACAAAGTCATTTCTTTTAAAGTTGAATTGTACTCAGAGTAGTATAAAAATGTTGAAACCCAAAGGCTTGTTAAGTTGTTGAAATCTACTCAGCTAACTGGTTGGTTTGATTAATCATATCCCCTTACTATTGACACTATTGGTGTACCCTTTAGAAGAACTTTGCCTTGTTACTTGTGTGGACGTTAAAAAGTGAAATAGCATTTCTCGTGAGTTTCTAGGATTACGGATGGATTGGTGTTTTTCACTGTTTAATTTAGTTCAAGTCGGTTGTTCCTGAGCTTCGAACGGTTAAGTGGTCTCTTGTTCTGTACCTGACGACAGTGAAAAGTCAACCTACTTCTTGTGTTTCGCTTAGGTTGTGCTGATCCTGGCTTTGCATGGGTCATGGGTCAGAGTGAGCAGAGCTCTGAGAGTACAGGAAGGATCGAAGAATGCTGAACGAAAAGTGGTCGCATCTGGTCTATATTTTGCAAACATTGCATTACCTGGTGACTATGACGCTTGTAAAGTGTCCGGTGGGCGACTTCGGCAGGTGTCTGTTGGTTGGTCGGATTACTAGATAGGTTGGCGCCCAATGTCATTATCTTTTTAGGTGTTGGCAGAGCATCGTCTCATTATTCTGACTCTGATGTACATGTAAGATCAACTGCACCTTCCCACACTCTTATTTCTCAGAGTTAAGTTTTGCGTTACGTTTTCGCTAGGTTCTTCATTAGGCTTAATAATTCGTAAGTGTTGTAAGGGTCGTATAACATTAGGGCTTCAGAGATATTAGTGTGTGAAGATAAACAAGAATGGTTAGAAGATATCCTACTTATCACTTAAAATTAACTAAGGAAATGAAATGAATGAAGTTTTATGTCCTACTTTTCTGTGTGGGCTAATGAAGACGGGCAACGCCATGCAGGGTGCCATGAGGGAAATTTTGCCAGGACAGCTGCATTAGCCTGTTCTTGTTTCGATTTCCAGCTGTCGAGGGATCTTTAACGTGCATAGCCTGTAGCACACGGGGCCTCGGTTTTTGTCCCATCTACTAGGCGCTTTTTCCATGTTAGCCCCTCTTACCTGTATCACTGACAGGAGGAAACCGGGTGAAAAACATAAGGAACTAACTTACCTTATATTCCAACCAACCACGCCTTCTCGAGTCCTGCACTATACACATTATGGGCGCAACAGTGAATAGGAAAGCCACGTTTACAGCTTTTAACACACAGATCAGTTTTCGTTCAGCTTCTTTGGTTCATTCCTGGAATTCTGATCCGATTCCCCAAGACATGCTACATCACTTTGTCGCCTCGATGACCCTGCGAAATCAGCATCGACATAAGCTACGTGGGGAACTAAAAAAAAGATTTTCTGTTCACTGCCATCAGAAACAAAGTAAAGGACACCATGGGATCCACCTCACCGATCAACGTCTCTGGTAGAAGCTCAAGAATAGCTGGTTCGAACTTACCTAAACAGAAACGTCAATCTACCTTTTATCTCAGATACTCACAGATCGAAATGGTATTTCAGTCCTTGCGGCCAGTCGGGTAACGACATCAAGATCTGAAGAATTATTGTACTATCATGGTCATCTGGATAGATATATGGGCTGACGAGAATGATTTGATGTAATATTGATATGTAGTTGAAGATCAACTCAACTCTGTGCCTGCATGTGAATCGGTTGAAGCCGTCGTGAACTAATTTTTTTTTGGAATATGCATATTTATACTTATGATTGACTCTCCGTACTTGCAATTTCAGTTCAGGGAACGTATCTCGCTGTTATAACTTGATGTATTGTATGTGATATGCCAGTATGTTGATTTCCCGAACTGACGTGATTTTGAAGTCGGGATTCGTATGAAGCTGTCATGAATTGGTGTTTTACTGCTGTATGTTTGTTAGTGCTCTTTGAGGTCAATGAAAATTGGAGCGTCATGGCATGACTGTGTTATTGCTACATGCATGTTTGTAATGTGTATGACTATCTACACGTTCAGTATATATAGCGAGCTGTCATGGATTGGTGTATTATTACTTCTGTAAGCAAGTTTCCTAAGGGCAATGTATGACTCTTTGAAGTCATGAAAACATGAGATCCAGATCGGTGTATTATTATTGCTTTTATGCAAATTTATAATTGACACTATATACACATGTATGATGAGCTGTCATGAATTGATGCATTGTGATATTGATTTTTATTACTGATTATCTGTATTTTTCTCCTTAGATTTAACAATGGCTAATGAGACTATGGGTAGAAATCCAATGGGTACTGAGTTGCATTAGCTTAATGCCAAGCCTTCGATTATTTTTGCAATATGAGAATAGAATCTTAATGAGAATTTGTCATGCACTACGGTATTCTACTGTGTAGATTTAGTCTCTTGAATTGAATGTCATTAGGTCATAATAAATTCTGTATCAATTAAACTCCAATTATTACATATATTTGGGCTTTGTTTACTGTAACGCAGTATTAAAAAAGAATCTGTTAAAACGGGAATAACTCTTTCCTTCTTTTTATACGCCCTGGCAAGCTATCTTTTATTTCCTGTTTTTTGGGGTTTTTTTTGTGATAGCCAAGCACTAATGAGTTAAGTATATCAGGGTTAGGGTATTTTCATAGAAAAGAGTACTGGTTGGAAAGAACATAATGATATTGCTAAGTTATAGCATATTCCTATATCGCTGGTGTATGCATATATTAAGTACTATATTTAAAAACCTAAAATAAGTGGAAATTAAACCTTATACTATCTCATTTCAATTATTTGAACTATCATTATTCTTCACCAGGTAATTCATATCATCCAAAAATACTCCATTCTCCGTAATGGTTATTCGGCATTGTATCTTTGCTATATCCTTCGTCACAATCAGTCAATGCCATCTTTGATGGTGGATCTTTCGAAAGCTTAATAATATGAACCTTTTTTCTGGCCAGCAAATTACATGGATTTCCATTCGGTTTTGAAGTACGGATTACACTGACATTTGGTATGGCCGTATTAGGGCTGACCATAGGGGCCCAAGTGTGGGATAACTCCAGATTTCATCTTAAAAATATTGCTTCCTTCGAGATGATATTGACTGAATACGACTAGGAATATGAGATAGGTATATAGCTGCAGCATTAGAAGTTTTGTTCAATGTGCATCTTTGTTTTGCCAACTGAAATTCTCGGATATTGTGAATACAATATAAGTTATGTGCAATGTTAATTGTAATTTCTGCTGCCAATCTATTGAAAACTATAAGGCCACTTTTAATTTGGATTTCTGGCATTTATAGTTATTTTAAATGCAATTTACATGTATGTATTCACTTTTTGATGTATATCTTTATGAAATGTTTTTCTGAACTCGGTAAAGCTATTAATTTTCCCAAATTAAGTCCCTGAATTTGCTCCACTCCTTCAATCTACTAGATGAAATAGATCGGTGCATCGCACTGTATAGTGTGTGTGGGCACACGAACGGTCTTGGTAGGTGACTCTTTATAGAAGGCATGCGCCTATGGTGCCCGAGAACTTCAATCCCGAAATATGCCTCCTCTCCCTATATGTCTGCGGTTATTTGCGGCATACTCAAAATCTGCCGCCGTCAGTGAACTCGGAAGACAAGATAAAGGTCATCACACCCATTACAATAGGTTTTAGTTGACCAAAGAAGCATATAATGATCAAATCGATATCGGCAAGTTCATTCATGTTAACATCTTGTATGTTTATCACAAATCGATCGCAAGTACAAATGAAGTTCAAAAATATGAAATATCGCATTAACGCCAAGTATAGATGACTGATGTAAATATTAAACTTAATGAAGATGAAAAGAATTGATTTATCCTGTTTGTTAATGAAATCGTGATGGCAATAAAAAAAGTTTGATCCTTTGTACTTTGTGGTGATCTAGATTGCAGCCTAGTGAAATTGAGGTATAAATGAATAATTCTAAGAATTACATAAATTCAACTTCTTGAAAAAGCATCTCTTCAACTTTCCATAGACATTTGGAGGGCGAAAATCTCCTATTGAGTTTTTATAGGCAATAGTTTCTGTTTACATCAATCAAAATACAGTGTTGCCAACAAATAGAGTTAAATGGGATGCTATTCAAATTGATAGATTGTCAAAATTGTCATCTGACCAGGACATGGTGCCAATTTCATCCGTAAATCATGTCAGATTTCACGGGCCTTGTTCGATTGCTTCTTTAAATAAGGCTGATTTAAACAAGAAATGATTTATTCGTAACTTCCACATTTAGGCATAAAGACAAAACAGTATTCTATAGTATCTATCAAGTATAAGATAGCTTGCCAGGCAACGTAATATACTCCCACTGGCAGCTTTGATTTTAAATAAAAAATATTTGGTAGTACAGTAACAATCACCAGTATAATAACTAAATAAAGACAAAATAGATACAACCATTAAGAACAAAGACTTTGATAATTTATTTGGAAGAATGAAATGCTGAAATAGTATTTACATATTGTATTAAAATAAATCATTACAATAATCAAACCAGTGTTATAACTAGTTTTTGTATGCTTTTATTTTTGTCCAGGAGAAAAAGTAATTAAGTTAAAATTCCCAACAAATAAGGTAACTACATAAGAGTCAATTTGTTAAGATCTTTGCACAATGAAACATTAACGTAAACTTAATGATAGAACAAGTACTGTTTCTGGAGCGAAAAAATTGAGACTATAAACTTAATTTAACAGCCCCTCTACCATCTCTGTAAACTAAGAATAGTGTTGATCATCCAGTAAATTAGTTAAACTTGGTGGTCTGTGACTTTCTATCCTTCTTAAACCAAGTTCATCTATTTCACAGGTCTCTTTTTCTTCTTTCCTCTGTTAAACAATCTTTTCTTCCAGCTATTTAATAAAGCCAAGGCATCCATTTCTTCATTGGTCTTCTCACCAATTTTAGAAATTCCCTATAAACATTCAATTAAAACTTAACATAGTTTCATGGGCACATCCTAGAGTAGGTTAAGGTTTTAAGTTAAATAACAAATACAAATTTCACTGAAATTATCTAAATGTTGTCCGTTTTAAGACTTTTGAATTCTAGATCTAACTGGATGTACATAAATAATTGAACATTAATATCAAACCTTTATACAAATTATTTCTGCTAATTTAAACATCTCTCTTACAGATTCCATTAATTCACAGGCATTTCTTGTTAATATCCTTACAGTCTGCAATATAAACACAGAAGACATTGGTTCTTTATCAAATACATATTGTAGCTGTAGCTGTAATCTTGTCTTTCAGTAGAATGAAATGGTAAGATACACTAGTGAATAATTATTCTAAGGGTCTGCAGGTAGAATATAGGATTAACATTTCCACATATTATCATGTTTTTCCTATCTTTGATCGTTTCACAAAAGAACTATTATTACCAAAGATCAAATCAACAAGCCATATCAATCATACCTGATGGTTTTTAGAAGCTGATAAAAAGACTTTAGAGATCATTTTAAGTTGATGTGAAGCTGTAGAGATCTGATCAGAGACTAGTAACAAATCATCTATATGGCTAGAACAAAACGAAATATGATTTATATTAGAACCTATACATTTTAATAATTTCGCCATACATAAATATTAAATAACGTGCTTATTATTACCAAGGAGCTATGTAAATTATATGCCATCTGATAGAAGAAGACTTGTTAGACTGCTTTGTTTGAATAATGAAACCAACCTTTTTTTTAGAAATTAACTTTGATATGATATGCGATATAAGGCATGATTATATTTTTCTTTTATATTACTGTACATAAAATGATTTGGAAGAAGTTAATACATCACAAATTATATATTGGAAGCAATGAGAAGTACATAAGCTATGCAATGTTAATCATTCAAGGAGAGCATAGAGGTTAGTTAAAAGGTATGATTCAAAACATTTACATAGAGCAGAATAATAATACAAAATATACATGATTATTATTATATTATACATTCTATTTCTAACAGCTACATGTATTACAAACCTGAACTGTAGAAAACCTACAATGTTATATACAATAATCAAATATACTGTAAATATAAATCGATATTCAGACAAAGATATTTTGAGGTAGAATAAATAGTGTTTGAAATGATAGAAGCTAGACTAATCATGTGTTCATTTCAACA